GTAGTACAACCTCTGGATTGCAGAAAGATAAAGGAATGACTCCATGTATGGTAAAGAAAAACAAACCAGTATTACTATTGCCAACATTTCACCATGATGGAAATACTGATAAGGAAACCTTGACATAGTGGGAGCCTGAGATGGAAAGTTTCTACAACAGAATGAAAGGTGGATTATATGTTGCTGATGACTTATGCAGCAACTGTGTCAGTTGAAGCCCAAAGCATTAGCCAGTGATTGTATTTTACTCAATCCTAAACATGTGTCATGTAAATAGCTTTATAGCTTACAAAGAAAATAGCAAGTGGAAAATATCATGGAGAAATTCTCTTAGAGGATTAAGAATGGGGCTCATAAAGAGATCATTTGCAGCAGAGGAAAAACAAAAATTTTCTGCCCAGGAAAGTATGCCAAAAAACCGTGGTGTACACTGGTGAGCCGAAGGCTGGGCAGGAAGTTGCAGCATCAGGAAGACCTGCTACAACAATAGGAAAACAGGCTGAAAGAAGGTCGCAGGGAAGGTCAGAACAGTTTCCCACAGCTTGGCCCAGTTCCCTCCTTCAGGTGGGGCAGCTACCGTGTGCCCTCCGTGTGAGAGAGGGTGGTTGGCAAGGCTGTAACAGGGTCCCGCGGTTCGGCCCGCCTGTTTCAGACAGGAAGCTGTGGTGTGTCCCCCAGGTGAGAGAAAGGTCCGCCAGGCTGGAAACCCACGTAGGTTTTTATTTTTGATGTTGTATTGTAGGTTTTGTAAGCAAATAAGCAACTGATATGAAAATATTGAAATCTGTTCTAAGCACTCATTACATATTTGATAATTTATTTGTTGATGTCTTATTTCCTCTGTAGGAGCATGCTGTACGATATAATAGGAAGCTTCTGACAAAACAGAAGTATAAAGAAGTAACAGTACTTTCAAATAGACAAGGAAAGCTAAGCACATGTGCTGTCAGTGTAAGGGAGACCTGTGCTTGGAACATGCAGCTGTCATATGTCAACACTGCCTTGGTTGTGACAGTTAAAGCAAAGATTATTTCTGTGTTAGCATTCTATTGGTATTTTCATTGTATTTCATATAGGAATTTATTTTGGATATTATCTTTTAGGTTTTTTAAGGAAGTACCCAACTGATGTGAAAATGTTGATGACTATTCTAAATGCACAATACATATTCAGAACTTAATAGTTTATTTTATTGATATTTTGTGTGCCTGTTAACTACACACAGTATGATACAAAAGAAACTCTTGACAAAGCAGCAAGACCAGTGAGATGTCAAGTGTGTCCTCCAAAAAGAGCAGGAAAACAAAACTCACATGCAGTCAGTATAACTGATACATGAGTATGGGGCATGCTTTTTTCATGTATGTGGACTACTTTAAGCATGATAGTTGAAGTAAAGATTTTCTGTATTTTATTGCTATTTTCATTGTAGTTCATATAAGAATTTATTTGTTCTTTTTTAGACTTTGTACATGAAAAATCAGGCAACGTCAAAAATTTTGATGCTTTTTATAAACAATTAATATTAAAAATTTAATATTTTATTTTTGTAATCTTTTCTGTGAAGTATTCACTACTAAATATAATAAAATTCATAAAATTAATAATTCATTGATAGAAATATTCTAAAGAATGCATGTGGATCTGACCTTTGTTTCTATATCTTTATTACAAAATTGGTGTCATGCTCCTCCTGAAGAGTTTGAGAAGCAACAGCATAAAGCCTTCTCCAGATTTCTTGTGGAATTCAGACCGAGTTTTCCTTTATTTAAAAATCCATCAGGACCTGGGATTCTCTTTACTGATAGATTTTTAATGACATCCTCAGTTTCATTGACTGCTATTGGTTTATTAGACATTTTATAACTTCTCGATTCAGCCTTGATAATGCATATGTATCTAAGAATCTGTCCATTTCTTATGAATTTTCTTTTTTATTAAAATGCAATTTCTCAAAACAGCTATTGACGACCTTCTGGATTTCTGTAGGATCTGTTGTGACTGCAAAGATTTGAGTCTTTCCTTCCTTTTCTTTGCATAAGCTTGGCTAAGGGTGTGTTTATTTTGTTTAATCTTTAAAAGAACCAACTTTTCAACTAATTGTTTCTTCGTATTGTATTCTTAATATCGATTGCACCAATTTTTGCTCTGATGTTTACGATTTCTTTCCTCGGATGAGCTTTGGGCTTGACTTGCTCTTCTTTTTCTATAGGTTTTAGGTTCAACATTATGTTGTTTATTTGGTCTCACTCTTTTTCTGACATAGGAACTCATTGCTATTAATTGCTCTTGTACGACTTTTTAAATTATATCCCATACATTATGATATGTTATATTTTCATTAATGTGTAGAAACTAATTTCTTCTTTAATTTCACTTATGACTCATTGGTTGTTCAGGAGGGTATTATTTAATTTCCATGTGTTTATGAAGTTCTTGTGATTTCTCTTGCCAATGATTTCCAATTTCATATATTTAAATCTCTCTCTCTCTCTGTATATATATATATATATATATATATATATATATATATAATTTTTATTTTAATTTAATTTTCATTTTAATTCCAGAGTGATGCTTGTAAATTGCTTATGGTGAGTAGCTTTTAGCTAGTGTTTAGAACCCTTAGGAAGTGACTACTTCTCAGAGGAGTCTTCCAAGTATAGCTGGCTTGAGGGTTTTGAGTCCGTTGCAAGATCCTACCTCTTCATTTATTGGAGATGAGAAACTGCTTCTTACTTGGCTCATCCCATTGTTCTTTGGCAGCATTCTGTAGTATTTTTTATGACCTTTAGTTAATCTTAGTCTTGTCATACCAGAAGGAACAACTGATTAGAACAGTTATGTTACCTTAGCTAAAACAGTGCAATCATCAGTAACAATAGCATCTAACATAGTCTAGCAAATCACAAACTGTGTTAACTCTTAATTTGCCACCTTCAACCATATGGGCTAGATTTCTAGCTGTATAACAAAATTTAAAACAAACCAGAAAATTTTATACAGCAAAGTAGCCTTCGGTGTGGCAATTTTACCCACAGGAGAGAAAATTTAAGAGATTAGAGGGAGAAATAGAGATAGAGAAAAAGAGATTAGATGCAAGGCAGGAGGACAAAGGAAGAAAATAATTTGCACTGAAAGGTGTGTCTCTGCTATAACTGGTAGACACGTCAGGCAGGCAGAACCCAAACCCATGGTAATTAATCCCAGCAGGCCAGTTGTAGCTTTTGGGAGGGGTAGCAGATAATCTTAGCAGGCTGCATCTTTAGTTCCACTACAATTCCGGCTGGTTTCTGACTGTAAGGCTGGAGCCTAAGTGTAACATCCTACGTGTCTTGTGCAGGTTTGAACTCAGCACCTGCCAGCTTGCACTCGGCTCTTTGATATCCTACCAACCCAAATTCAGCAGCCTCACCTGGACACTAAGAGATGCTAAATCCTCTCACATCTTTAATATCTCTGTACAGTAGTACTCCTTTGAATCATGTTCTGTAGAATACTATCTTAGTGAATGTCACTACTGTTTATGTGCTGGTTATAAACAGAAACTCTGGAACCATCTTGGATATTTCTTTGTCTCCACCTCTTACTCTGCCTAACAGTTTGATCTGTTAAATGGCTCTTTTCATTATCTTTGTTCTTCCTTTCACCCCTGTTGATCATTTTGTCCCTTCTTGTGCTTTCATTTCTGAATCTCAGAAGTCCATCCTGTATATTGTCATTTTGGTGACTATTGTGGAATTTCTTTCATTTAAAGGTTGTACTCAATTAATTTATGTGATTTTTAAGGTCATAATTTCCTTTGCTGTCCACTCAACCAGATTGATTTTTTCTGAGTGAGGCCCCCCTTCCCCAATATTAGTTGTTGTTTCTGAATTAGTTACCTGCTTATGGTTTTCCCGTTTGGACATATAATTTTTTTTCATGCCCCTAAAGTGCCTTTTTTTCTCCTTGTTTTCATGAAAGATTGTCATCTTTCACAGCTCAAATGTTTTTTTTTTTTTCTCCTTCAAGGTATATTAATCTGCTCAGACACTATAACAAAATACCATAGGCTGAGTGGTTTAAACAATACAAATTTATTTCTTTGCAGTTCCAGAGCTTGGAAGTCCAAGATAAAGATGTTAGGCAGGTAGGTGGCTTTTGGTTTTGAGTCTGCTGCAAGATCCTACCTCTTCACTTTATTCGACATGAGGAACTGCTTCTTACTTGGCTCAGCCCATTGTTCTTCGGCAGTGTTCCCCTGAGACCCTTTTCCAGCGTGGCTTCTTTTCCAGTTCACCTTCTTCCTGTGTCCCCACCTAACCTTTCCTCTTTCTCCTTTTTTAAGGACACTGATGAAACTGCATGAGAGCTCCACCCTCTTGTCCTCCTGTCGACTCCAGTTTCTTAGTTATTTGCCTGTCTCTAAGTAGTGCTGCTGGGATTAAGCCTTAAACCCATGAGTCTGAGAGGCACAGCTCATTCTGTAACATAAAATCTCTCTTGACTTGAGGCAGAGCTGACTGTGGTTTCCCTTCTATCCCACTGTTTTGGCACAGTGCTATGGCTTATTGGTCTGTTTTCTACCAGCTTCTTAAGACCCCGTATCGATTACTTTGAAACTTAATGAATATTTTCAAATGAATTTTGTGTATAATAACTGAAGTGACAAAAAAGAAACAAAATATTGGTCAATTGAATTCAGGTTGTTACTGTTGAGAAGATCTTCCAAATATGTAATTTCTCTTATTTTACCTCTGTTTCTTTTAGGAACCAACTGCTTCAAATCCTAAATCCTTGTCCAATATTTGTTCTTACATAGGTAGCTGTGATGGGAGCTGCCACTGGATGGTTGAGATTCATTAAGTTTTTGGAGAAAATGTTAAGAGAAATTATATGGGCTTTCAAGTTTCTTTTGCCTTCTTAGAGTGTGTTTACAGAACAGAATATTTCACCAAACCACATTACACTGGTATTTGCTTCAATTCCCACTTTCCTTTCCTCTCCTCCTCTTTCAGATAAACAAGCTGGAGGCATGCCTGAGGCAGGCAGGATGCACGGATGATAAAGGACTGCAAAGGCAGGACCAAGAGCACTGGATGCCTGGATGAGAGGAGATTGTGTGCAGTGTACCTGTGAGGTCTGAGCTGCCAGAAATTCCCCATCATTGCCATGCTTTGTTTCTCTAGCCTGTCAGTTTAAATACAGCTGAAAATTCAAGAACAGAAAACAACATCCTCCTTGTGAGTGACCTCTAGGATATTTATAAGATCGGAATAGTGTTGTGGGACTTCAAAGCTTCTTACTGTGGACATAAATGTAGCTATAGTCATAGTATTTGCAGACATGATGAGCTCCTTTTATTTTTTCACTAACAGGTGAGGGATCTTAGGGTGTTGATGCCACTTGACCCAGGTCACACAGGAAACTGAGGCAGAAGGAGGTGGGATTATCTCATTATTTTTCAGTCAGACCTATCAAAAATGTTTCCTGAAAGCATTTGTAAATCAACACAGTTTCTATGGAAATATAAAAATGTGTTATTATTTCCATGCGAATGAAAAATAATTCTTTTTGCTTCCGAGCAGAGATGATTTCTACCAGCTCTTTGGAAATATGTGAAATTCCTCCAGAAATCCATGCTGCATAATATCACAGACCACATCATACAGTTCCGCACTTGCACCTTGCTCTACATGCTGCACAGTGACACAAAGGTGAATGAATAGAAACCACATGTTGCTTGCTTGCTTCAGATAGTCAATCAGGTTATGCATTATTGGAAAGTTCCTTTCTCTTTAGTAATTTCATGGTAAGAAACATGGAGATGATGTTTGAATGTTGCCTTTCAGAGTGGCCAAGTCATGCATGGTGCGGATGTGTGCATCGGCTCTGTGTCCTAGTCCTGAACTAGTGAAAGGTACCTGTTGTCCGGTTTGCAGAGATCAAGGAATGCACGTGGATGCAATGGAGAGACAATGATAATATCTGATCAAGCCCTTGAGGAGGGTCTTCTCAAGAGAAGCCACTCAGGATCCACACTTTTCACCTATAGACATGTCCTTCAGATGGGAAACACTGATTTAAGAGCAAATCAATGCATTTGAACCATAGACATACTGAAGATTTTTTATGTTTTTGTTTACTAACGAGACCTGAAATAGTGCAAAACTAGAGACTATATAGAGCATAGCAATTATCTTAAGAAATAGTTCTGATTGTAAGCCTTAGGTTTTATATATTGCATGTGGAGATAAAAATATTATATACTATTCTACAAATATGATTGTTGTGGAAAATATCTGTCATGGTTTATGTTGGTGGCCCCCCAGGCCTCATGCATTTGCATTGTGCATTTGTGATTGGTTCACTGTCTAGAGCTTGGATTGATGGTGTCAGTGCTACACCCACCTGGGGTGGAGCCAGCATGCAATGTAATGGCGGGAAGAAGGTGTGTCTTGCTCTCTTTTGCCTGTTTCCTCCTTGCTGTTTGCAGCCACCATGAACTGGGGTCCAGCCATGCCAGCCTGCCTTGGAGAAAACTGAGTGTGGACTGAAACCTCCAAAAACTGTAAGAAATAAACCTTTCCTTTCCCAACTTTGGGCCTCAGGTGTTTTGTCTCAGCGATCAGTAAAGAGTAACTAAGACAGCATCTAATTTCTAAATTCAGAACCTTCCAGGTATGGTGGTGCAGTCCTGTAATGACAGCCTTGGGAGGTGGACACAGAAGGATGTCTGGGAGTGCAAGGTCATACTGGGCTGCATAAGGAATTCAAGGCCAGCCTGAATTACAGTGAGCCTCTGTCTCAAAAAAAAAGTCTTCAGGAATTTGAGTTTTGCATGTGAAGAAAATCTACAGGAAGATCTGTGATAAATCTGTGATAATATTGTGCTGCTCTTCTTGCCTCTGGCCTATTTTCTCTGATCTTTGACCTTACCCGTTGTGTTTTTGCTGAGGAGGTGCTTGTCTTAACTTTCATTAAAGTTCTGGAACATTAGGGAAAAGTCAGGCAAAGAATGTCACTTTTTAGGGAGCTTGTCAGTTTTTGCATGTGGTTGGAAAATGCAAACTCTGTGCGAGACACATTTCAAAGTAAAATTGCTCAAAATCTGCCTTTCCCTTATTTGTCGTTATTACCATTCATGAGATGTCAACATTGAAATATAGCCAAGTCTGAAATCCAGGAGCAATCTGAACTTATTATCAGGAAAATTGAAAATGTTCTCACCTTTTACAAAAGATGTTATTAGGGGGTTCTTCAATTCTGACACTTTGTTACCGCATTTCAAGCTCAATCCCATAGACAGCAGCTCTATTTATATTCAGAATTCAGGTTTTTATATTAGGTGATTTTCACTTAATATTTAAAAAGTACCTTAAAAACATGACATGAAAATCTGTGCTCTATATGGGGATTGGTTGTAGTTTTGGGTAGATTTTTGTAAAGAATGTTCAGTGTCAAAACTTTAGATATTGGCCTGCAAGATACAACCCCAGGGAGGTAGGTCTACTGATTTCCAGTGACAAACTTTTAAAAGGAGGTCTATTTTCCCACTATTTAGAGTTATTATATAAAATGCTATACTAGTTGTATATAAATATTCTCCTGGTTTTACTATTCATGAATGTAAAAAGATGCTTTTAGGGTTTGGTAAAATCACTGTTTATGCTGCTTTGTTTTCTAGACCTGACTTTTAAATATGTTATTGTCTCTCTGCCAAGATCCAAAATGTTGGAATTTAAAGGACAATTAAAAAGTAAATATTTAAAGGCCATTTAAAGGAAAAGCTGAACGAGTAGCACTTCATGTGTCAGGACCTTCTAAAATCAACAGCAACTTACAATTATATTGAGTTCTGAAAGGTAAAACCTAACACATTCCAAAAACTTGATAATTGGTAGTCTTCTTCTAAAACTCAACAACGTGAAATCAAAGTAAACCTTATGGAACCTCTAATGGAACTATAATATGTTTCCCAGAAGCTGTTACAGTGAACGCAAGGCATCTGACAAATAGAGACGAATTCTGCAGCATTTATGTTCTCCTCATTCTTTTTCCTTTTGTCATCGTATTGAAGACTAAGGAAAATTTGGGTCATCACTCATACTATATTTTCATACTGTTAATATGTATCAATTTGCATGTCACCCAGTTAATAAATTTGGTTCATTAAACATGAACAAATATCAAAATAAGAGAGAATGAAATGATCATTTCAAGTAGACTGCATGAGAATTTTTTTTAACACTAAGCATCAATTGACAGGATGACTTGAAAAACTAGTCACCTAAATTTCAGTCATAGACAAAATTATATTTTGTTATTGTGGATTATTTTTTGTTTCATACATTTCTGTTGTACTCTAAGGTAGCTTCATCATTTTGTGTATTATAGCAAACCTGTACCGCGGCTTACTAAATGTTTTTTTTTTCTAACTGATATGTTAAGTGACCCAATTGATATGTTGAGCAATACTCTCCCCTGTAAAAAATTGCAAGAATTTCACTTAATTGAGATGTTAACCAGAGCGGCCCTCTACAAACAAGAAGAGTGGTGCTAAAACAAGCTAACAAGGGCTGTTAATCACGGTTAGGCGCCTCTATTCTTCGCTAAAGAACTAAAAAAGACAAGAAGGCCCACTAATTTACACATTGTTTGAAGTAGCTTGTTTATATGCAGGGAGATTTGCCTATGAGTTTAACCTTTTTACCTTCCCACAAGATAGATACTCGCCGTTTTCCTGTTCTGTAGCGCGCCTTATTGCCTCCCCCCACCCACCTATCTGGGCCATAAAAAATTTGGGTTTCTGGTGACCTCTCCCCGACCTGGTGATGATCTGTCATAAAATGAGCCGGCCCCAATTTTAGGAACTGCTTAGCTTAAGAAAAATTACCGGGTAATACTATGGCCCAAACCCCGATCGGTGCTTTCCTTTTGTTCTGTATGTATCAAATGAGTTAGATATCAGATCTTTGTAAAACTTAAGTTCCAGCGTCTCAAAACTCGTGACCCCTTCGCACTCACTGGCGAAGACAAGCTGTCCTGGGATAATTAACTCTACACTTTCTTCTCCAAATATTGCTGCAGACGTGCCACTCTGAGATAATGTCAGTCTGCAGGATGGGAGTAATTTGAGCAACAACAGGAACTCCCGGGACTGTCAGAGCTAAGTGGACAGCAATACAGTTTCCAGATGTGGGTCAACAGGTTTAATGGCCTTACAGGTTTCCCCCCACTTTCCCTTACTTTTAAAAACCCCTTTCCCCAGTCTTGGGCGCGCAGTCTTTGGGTCGATCCAGGAGAGACTGTGCCGCCAGGACTGGCTCAATAAAGCCTTTGCCACTTAAGTTTTGGACTCTTGTTTCCGTGGACTTTATACCGGGGCCCACGTTATAACAATTTCACTGTAAAACATTTTTTCTCTCTACATACTTGTGTATGCACATATATAATATATATGTGACTATGTGTGTGTGTGTATACATTTTAGTGGACTAAAGTCCACTAAATATATATATATATATATATATATATATATATATATATATGTGTGTGTGTGTGTGTGTGTGCGTGTGTGCATTTTTAGTGGAATAAAGTCCACTAAAATGCATACACACTTCAGGAAAAGAAAAACTTGTATAAATATTTTAACATTAAGGTTATTGAGATATCATAAGACTAATACAAGTTGCCTTTGGCCTCTATAATTACAAGAAGTGCTCCAAGTGGTGGCTATTGTTTTCCGGTCTTTATTAATACAATAAACTACCACTTGGGTAACTTGGTCATTGAGATTGCTGCACACGCGTTTTCAATTTTTTCTCTAAGGGCTGGCAGTGTAGTGAATTTCCTGGAATATACAACATCCTCTAGGGTTCCCCATGTGAGGGTAACACCATCTGCTAAAAAATAGCATACTAGGGCCTGGGGATTTAGCTCAGTGGCATAAGTGCCTGCTTAGTAAACGTGTGGTCGTGAGCTTGATCCCCAGTACCTAAAATAAAATAAAATAAAATAAAATAAAATAAAATACTGTTTTTGTTTTCTTAAAGTATGTATGCATGTTTTGGTGGACTCTGTACATATTTGTTGTTCTTCTCATCTGCTTACTTTATTTTTGGCTCTAGGGCTTGACTCCAGGGCCTCATGCATCCTAAGCACACTATGCTGGAAATACCATGAGACAGCATCTAATGCTTATTGTATGTAATACTCTTTCAATCTGCGACCAAAATATTTAATGTATCAGATTTCTTCTTTCTTTTATACACAGGTACATGTATAAAATGAAGGTGAAACTTTTCAGGGCTCACTCATTTTCTGATTTCTTCTGAGAAAAATCAATGTTTTAGCCAGCAGCAAAGTGAAAAAAATATCCTTCTATTTCTAGAACACTTTAATGCACTTCCCGTATCCCCTACACCCGCATCGCGGCCACACTGCACATGGAGCTGCATGATGTGAAGGTGGAAAGTGTGTGTGGCCGTAGTTTGTGGTTGGCAGCTGCGGACAGGACACTTAGAACAGTTATCTAGCAGAGTCTTTAAATGCTCAGAGCAAAAAGCGACATATAATAAAATCAAGCTTTTATGATGATTTGTTTCCTTTCCAGATCTGACTGGTGGAGTAGGGAAAATTAGGTTCTCTGGTAAAACCCTCTGTCGGTCTTTCCTTTCTTCCTTCCTCCCTTTCTTTCTTTGTAAAATCAAGTTTAATTGTGAAGCTAATACGCACTCACTGTCCTGATTTTACTATAAATAACATCACACATAATGTCATTTATTACGAGTTTTTGTTAACTCATAATACTAATTCATATTAATTAACTAGTATTATATTAGTTTTAACTAGTTAATTAACAAGCTGCATCAAGTTCAAGGACAGCTCACACAGAAATACTATCTTGCATTTCAGGAGAAATGTCTTCTATTAAAAACTATACTTGATTGAGTCTTCTCATTATTAGATTTCATGATAGAGTTTTGGAAACTTATGTAACACTTATTCTTCTTGAGTGCATTAACTGAAAGATGTTGTAGTAAAGATGATATAATTCTATTCTTAGCCCTTGTGGATGAAAATCTGTGGCTTTTGTTTCGAGCATCAGAAATGACTTAGTATTAAAATTTACATTTCAAATGCAAACTAAGGAAAAAGAGTGTCTAATTGTGCAATATTTCTCAACATTATGAGAAATTTTCTGTTCTATTAATAAATTTTGTAAAAGAAATGAAACTTTCTTCAAATATAATTTTTCACTGAATTATAATATGGTACAAAAGTTTAATGTATACATATATAATTGGTATGTTTTTGAAATTTGTGTGAGGAAGATATAATGTAACAAATTTTATTGCACTTTTATTCATGAGTGGGAAAATATGCAATGAGATTCTCATTCATCACTTTTTTGGCTACCCATCATCCACAGTTTGGTTAAAGGAATATTGGTAAAACTTAATTCCTTATGCATGAAAATATATCAAAACATTAGCAAAAAACAAAAATTACTTAAGAATTTCTGATTGAAAAGTGAAAAATAAATGTTTTATATATTTCTATCTTTGCCTATCATATTGCTTAATGCAAGATAAT